CTGGGCTTAGAGCCCTCGTTTCCTGAGCTGTTACTTACTGCTGGGCTCTGTATCTGTCCTCACTGTTCTTGGTGCTCCCAGGCGGTGACCGGACCTTTCTCTGGCACTCGCCGGGCATGGAGAGGTCAGTGAGCGCTTAAGCGAATGAACGAATGGACCCATGAGTGAATGCGTGGATGGGGAGAGATGGGAGCCAGCGGGGAGACAGAAAGAAGGGACATGGCACATCTGGGCTGCTCCCCATCCAGCTGCTGTCCCCGGGCCACCCCCGCCCAGGTGAGGACCGGCTGGCCCCCCGGGGTCTCTCCTCCTGGCTAACAGGGGTCAGGGGGCCTGTGCCTCTCCCTCCTCCAGGCTGCTACCGCTACAGCTACGTGGGCCAGGGCCAGGTCCAACGGCTGAAGGGGCCCGACCACCTGGCCTCCAGCTGCCTGTGGCACCTGCAGGGCCCCAAGGATCTCATGCTCAAACTCCGGCTCGAGTGGACGCTGGCCGAGTGCCGGGACCGGCTGGCCATGTACGACGTGGCCGGGCCCCTGGAGAGGAGGCTCATCACCTCGTGAGTCCTGGGAAGGGGGCGGTGATGTGGGGGCCAAATCGCACCCCGTTCCGAGATGAGGGGCTGTGTGACCCTGCTCCTCGGTGTGTGGTCTCTGAGAGGCAGCGGGGCTAGCCCACGGAGAAAGGGAAAAGGGGCTGAAAGGGGCTGCGTCTTGTGGGCCGTCCCCTTTCCCTCCCTGAGCCTCAGTTTCCCCACCTGTAACAAAGCGGTTGTATGGGGCTGTTGAACCTCAGCTGTGAGAGAGAAGTGACAGAGGAGCTTGTCAGGGCCTTCGAGGGTCTGGCAGCAGCCCCAGACCCCCCCCCCACCTCTGGTGCTTCTCAGGGGCGTGTCCTAAGGCAAGTCACTTTGCCTCTCTGAGCCTCAGTTTCCTCACTTGTAAAATGGGGGCAGAATCACGTCCACCTTGCCGGGTTATCGCGAGGATTTAAAGGAAACCATCGGTGCCACACTTCTCACACATCGTAATGCTATCCGTTATTGCTACGTGTTCAGTGGATCCATCAAATATCCAGTAACTGCTGTCCGTTGCTACTCTCATTGTATATAGTCTAGTGGGATTGGGTCACGAGGGGCATTGAATGCCAGGAGCAGTTTGAGCTGTAACACTTGGTAAGTGGCCCCCACTTACCAGCCCCCCCCCCAAAGTTCTTGAGCAGAGGAGCGGGGCTTGAGGACATCGGATAGGATGACAAGGGCAGGAAGCGGGCAAGTGG